ATTTAAAATTTAAAAATTTAAAAAGTTTAAATAGATTAGCAGTTGTATGTAATAGATAAGTAATAGATGAATGAATATTTTTGTATCATTATTTTGCAGTTTTTGTATTTGATAAAAGCGAATTAGAATAAACTAATTGATATTTAATGTCTAGAATACTTTTAAAAAAACATTTAAGAATAATTTCAAGTTGAGATATTATTTATGATTATGATACATTGTACTACATTATAAGAACAAAAAAATTTAACTGTTTGTTAATTTTTCTTTAGACTTATCTAAAAAATTATGTGTTTAAACTGCAAATTTGATTAAAATTGTACTCAGAGGAGTGTTATAGTAGAGTGTTAAATAGAAAGAGTAATTTAGAATATTCAAAGATTTAAAAATAAATAAAAAAATATATCAAGTATTGAAAAAGTTTATCGATACTATTATTGATAGTGTCAAAAAAGTATATCGAATATTTGTTTTTATTGAGTGTTAAAACACTTATGTTAGATATCTTTTTTTTTACTAAGAATATTTCAACGTTAATTGAATGTTTATTATAATATAAATTTACAATTATGTAATTATTGATTACAGATTATAATCGCTACATGATATTCGCTGCATAATTTGGCTGCATTATTTTTACTGCATAATCTTAGCCGCATGATCTTTGCCGCATAATCTTCGCCGCATAATCTCTGCCACATAATCTTTGCTAGAAAATAACATCGGTGACAACAATTGAGAGAATGGTAACAGGGAGATTGGTAACATTCTCGTGAGTACATACATATTATTTACATAACTGAAACCGTGCAAGCAGAATGACGCATGTTCTTTCATTTTAATATGTACAATTCCCAAAGTAATATATTTTATACCGGGATAAATTATATTTTCGAGATAACGTATTTAAGCGGTAAAAAAACTGCAGGGTCGTCCTTTTCTTTCCGTTTTTTTTTTTACGAGATTAATTTACGGCAGCTTAACATTCGACGGAAGTCGTAGAAGTATATCAGCCGCGGAATGTTCGCCATTATTCGCGGTATGACTGAAGCTCGGGGAGCGAAGGTACGCTCTAGTATGTTAGGGGAGCGTCGTGGCTCTCGTTGCTATTGGCCGAGCAGACACTTTTACAAGCTGCAGTAAGGCATTTGGTCCCCGGTAGCAACCCTCCTGAGACTTACCTCGCATTGGTGTTTTAGCCATAACGTGACCCCCGGTCGTATCTAATAATATGTTTTATAGAGGCCGTCGTCCAGTATCTTTCTTCGACGAATGAACTCTTAACCGTAGATACGAAACACCCGTGTAACCCGGAACAAAATTATTTTCACAGAGAAATACATAGAATAAAATAGTATAAATTTCAGTTAATGAAACATTATTGTGTCTTTTTAATGGAAGAAAAGATAAAAAAATAATACTATTTTATATAAAACTTTTTATAATATTATGTAATATGTTATAACATCCGTGAGCTTATCTATCAATCTGCTTGTGCTATATTTGCTTTCAGTTATTGTAATACATTTGTTGAGACATGTACTGCTGACGGTACATGATTTATATAAAAAATTATATCTTGTTACAAGTTATATATTCATGTGATTTATATATGTGATATTGAATATTATGGTTACTTCTAAAACACTTATTTATATGGTGATATGCAAGCACAAATTAATTTAATTATTTTCATGATTAGTTTTGTGGATTTTTCACATTATCTTATTTCACTGAAATATTAAAGATGATAAAAATATAATTAAATTAAACAAAATCAGTATTATATAAATTTAAAGAAATATGTATGTTTATTTTTATGATGAAATCTAATTTTTTTATTTTATTTACGTATAACAATATAGATAATAATATAATAATTTTTTTTATATTTTGTTAAGAAAGATTTAATTTCTAATTTATAAACATTATGCTTCTAATGATTGTAGAAATTAGATATGAAATGAATTATTCTGTATGACATAAAAAGGACTAATATAAATGATATAATTCTGACTTAATAATATATTTCAATTTTTGATAAAAGGAATTTAGGAAATTATATTTTATTATAAAAAATATATTATGCAACTTTAAAGAAGAATTAAGATTTGAAAGTAATACACATGTTAGAAATATATCATTTATATCAGATTTTCTTATCTCATACAAATTATTTCATTTTACACTGCTCTTCTGCAATTATTATGAACAGAATTTTTATAAATTAGAAATTAATTCTTTTTCAACAAAAACGTCAGAGAAAATTATTATTTTTATTATTATTTGTATTATTATGCATAAAACAAGATAAGGAAATTAAATTGTTTATCAGAGAATAAACATTTATATTTTTACATCGTACATTATATACTGTATTAGCTAATTGGGAGTCAGCTTAGTGAATCTGTTGAAATATTAATTTTTGAGTTATAAGCAATTTTTTGCGAATAATTAATAAAGTCCTAAATAATATCAGTAATATAGAACTCAGTAATAAACTTAGTAAGAAAAAAATCAGTAATATAACAGTAATATAAAACAAATATAATATAAAACGTGAATTAAAACTTCTACACCATTTTCAAGCAATTTAACTGTTGGAAATACTTTTTGGAGATCTATAATTTTATATGATTGTTAGGAAAAAGAAACCTTTTTATTATATTAACATTTATTAACATTTTTATTATATAGACATGATATTTTATATAAACCCATGTATAATATTTATTTATTTATTTTATCGGATAACGTTCACAATGTTTACAATAGATTTTAGACCAAAGATTATATAATTTACATTGCAATGCATTTTAATATGAACAATTAGAACTTTGACTGCAATTGATTGGCCAAATTCATGGCCGAAACGTTTGACTATATTGTATTAAACATTTAATTTAAGCACTTACAATCAGATTTACTGTGATTATTTTAGGTCTTTCTTTTTTTGTGTTTTTCTACTCTCTATACATTTTTTTTATACATTAAATTTTTTCAGAGATAAAATTTATTTTAACAGAATTTAAATTTAAATCTTTGCTTCAAAAACATCCTGCAAACATCCGGTTAAAATTTAAGAATTAAAGTTTTATTAAAACATGTTTTATTAAAACATTTGAAAATAATATATAGAATTAGAAAAAATGATAAATATAGTTTAATTTAAGTTTATTTATTTGATTCTTTAAAATTAAGTTTGTGTGTGCACAGAGAGTTGCATATAACTTGAAAGTTAATATCTGGACATATTTATTAAGATTAAATATCTTAATTAACCATAGAATCTATCATTAAAAGAATATTGAATATTTTGAAATCTTGTGTATTTTATATAATATTAACCAATAATATGTGCATAATATATGCACACTGTACTCAATTTAAAAAGAACTTATTAGATGAGATTTTGATTAGATTTATATATTAGTTTTTGAACATCTATTTTTTCCTTTATCGAATTTTATATATGTATTAATATAATATTCTTTCTGATGTTATTGTAATGCAAATGTATTTATAGGTAAATTTTGTGCGCATAATCAGTGCTATAAAATATATTTGTTTCGTCGTAATATAGCAAAATGTGCGTCGGGAGTGTCGTTGATACCGGAAGTGTCGTGATAGTTTCGCGCGAGTACGAAACGCCGTATTCTAGCGAATCTAAAGACGAACGCATTTCGACGAATGATACGATGAATATTGGGATACGATCGAATCTTTTTCGAGAGAGGCATGTTTCTCGACTTTGGGCTCGGCTCGGGGGAGGAAAGGATCGATTTTTATCATAGGATCCCGACTGGGGCCTTCCAGTGTCAGACGTGTCATATGATGCATGATGCATGATGCATGATTATCGCGGTGTTTTTTGCATGCTCAAAAAAGTTGTGAAGTTACTAATGCATGATAGTAATTTCGAAATCATATGAATCACAGCATAGAAGTCAGCATGTTTTGGCTTAAGTCCGTTGGTATTGGTGCCGAAATACTGTTGAGATACCCGGTATCCGATTGATCCCATGACTAATTGAACCTTACCTTCTTCGAGTTTATGCCCTCTGTTTTGAAATAATCGTACCCCAATTGTTAAGTGCGGTCGTCTGAAACGCGGACGGAATTCGCGCGTAACGTCGCATCTTGGACAATTCGGTTCGATTCGCTTGCGACGTCGGAAGTGCCGTTTAAAAAAGTAAGTCGCGCGATTTTCGTATTCGGGTACGCGCGCGAGCAATGCGTGCGTCGCGAACGCATGTGTCTTGAAAGTGATGTGAGTGTCTCGTTGAGAGGAGGAGGAAATTTAAGAAACATCGAGCGATAGCAGAGAAACAACATGGTAAGTAATTTATCCTAAAAAATTATTTTTGTAGTGAAGAGAGGCTATATATATTATAAAATCATGTGAACTTATCAAGTGATGAGTACCTTTAGCTGGATGGTATATTTGCTCATTCAAATTTTTGCAAATACTTTAGTACAGTCATTATATTTTAACGAAATTGTAAATAATATCGTAAGTATATATTTTGATAAGTGTTTTATTAAAAGCCGATCAAATGACATTTATGAAAACTGTTTAAAAAAAAGGAAAATTAAATTTCACGTTTGTGTATTAATTCAAGTATAAGTCCGAATTTTTGCATTTTTTCTTGTATAAGATACTGTTGTCTATAATACTTTGTCTTCGAAAACATTACAGTTAATATTTTTTAGTGTTTTTACGAATTTCTCATTAACTCTATTATTAATCAAGTTTGATTTGTACCAAAATTATGATAATAAATATTCATAGAGAGATTACTAGATAAAGATTATTTTCAATTATTCTGGCGATGACTGTACGCATATGATTTAACCGCATTTGCACGCTGTTTGCATAGAGCAAGTATCCCATGATCGGCTACGTGCACATTGGCGCGACGTGTCAGCGCATTGCTCGATTGTTAATTCATAATTTTAGCATCGCCATTTCGGCGAGTGTTTACACCATCACAATGATCTTCGTTTGGGGAGGGAAAATTTATTGACGATCCGCGTTTACGAGGCCGTTCGGCGGTTTTCCGCATACGGTTCTCGCAGATTAAGAAAAGAGCGGGCTAAGTTGCACCCCTTTACGACCGCGTAAACTGCATTGGATTGCAAATTCTCAAGCACATAATAACGGTCTCATCGTCATCGTCGTCTTCGCGGCGGGTCCTGTAGATTAGATGGCTCGTTCGATAGGCGATACGAGAAGTATGTCGGCTCGTATTCCCGTTACCCATGAGTCACCCCTCTTTCGCTGGGGACACACCCTATTTCGCTCACCCCTTCTTGCTAGAAAACGAATATTCCAGAAGGGAGAGTGTTTCCATGGATACCTAGCCGGCCATCTTTTTCATGGGGCGTGGGGATGTGATAAACCGGGGGGAAAATCCGATAAATTAACCGCTGCCATGTGACGTACTTCGTTCTAATATGGTGGCACAATTCCAACCGCGATATACGTAGAAATATTCGTCTAAAATATGATATTTTTAAATGTAAATTACTCTTTTATTAAGTTATTTTTTTCTCTAAACATAGATCTAAATTTTTCTAAATTGTTTATACAAATTTAAAGAAATAACTAAGCTAAAATCTTTGATGTTTCATTAATTTCATAAATATTAGATGATTTGAAGAAATGATAATTACAGAAATTTTATTTTTGCTATAATTTATATTTAATATTTAAGATGATATAAGAAAAAGATTTTTCAAGATTCAAGATTGTTTATGCACATAACATAATAAAAATGCATACAATAAGTTATTTATAGATAATCAATAGTTCCAATGAAAAATATTGTAATTTTTTAAAAGACATATTTCTATAATAGTTTCCTTTTCGAATGCAAAATTGTGAGAGAAATTATATTCAAATTAATTCATAAGAACGCTTTATTTGAGAAGTTTGATATTTCTTTGCAGTAATAATTTTTATACGTACGATTTTATTGACAATTTATAAAAAACTCACAAAAATGCAATTACGATATTTTTTGCTTATTATCGCGACATTTATAAAAGAGTTTCTTATTCTTTTAGAACGCTAGTTTGTATCGCCAGTGTAGTCAGTAAGTTACAAAATCGCACGAGGGAATAACTCAAACTAAAAATAGGAAATAGATATGAATGAGTGCAGCTGAAAAAAGTAATAAAACTAACGCGGATGCGAGTCTAACAGAATATCTCAGAATTGCATTCTCTTCACGCATATTTGGCATTATTGTATAGCCATCGTTCCGCGATGTGGTGTTCCTCCAACAGAAGATTTAGGTGAATAAGTCGCTAAAGGCGTACTTTTATTGCACCTGTAAATATTATAACCTTTAGTGTGTGGCTTGCGCCTTCTTCTATATAACGCCTGAAGATCTTTCGGATAATCGGACAGGCGAAGGAATATTTCTAAAGAATATTATTGAGTCTATTATGTTCATGTGCGTGAAGATTTTATACTCTATGCATTTAAAAATATTTTCCTCTTTGGATAATCTAGATCATTTTTTTGTGTAACGAAGAGTCAAGTAAATTTTTGAAACGACGAAATGATTTATCTAACATATTTATATAATCGCAAGAAAGTTTACGTCTTTATACGTGTATATTAATAATTTTCATTACTGTATAATAAAGTTATGTCTCTTAAGCATACAAATTATTACTAAAATTTATAAATAAATTTAGCTGGGATTTTTTTGATCAATTTATAGTTGACTGTTCTTCAGCGGATGTTTGATCTTTTTAGTTTTCATTATTATCTCAGTAAGATTTAAATTAAAATTCTAAGTTAATTTTTAAATTTGCATGCAAAATATTTCTTTTTGTGATATATTTTTTTAAATTTACAAAGAATATTTTATTTTTGACTAAATAAAATAAACAATTGATTAATATCTCAATGCAAAAGAAACAGATTTTTAATTGATCTATAATTTGCAAAATTTGTCTAAGACTTGCAGTAACATTTTGCACATTTGTGTCTTTTTTCTGTTGTTTCATTAATGCCAGACAACTCTATATATTATTTATTATTTGCAATACATATACTTCACCATCGGTTCTCTTGCATCTTCTAGTATCAATGTTGCTTTACATATTTTACTCTGAAATTGATTTAGTCGGAAAAAAGCATTAAATATTTTTCATAAATTTGACAACGTTAGCAATAGCAGGCTTTGAAAGTAAAATGTTCAAAAATGATAAATATTGTTGGTGATGCATCGTTTATTCGTGCTTCGTCCTGGACAAGGACTGCCCACGGTTTCTTGTACGCATCAATAAAAACGTGCCACGCTCTGTTTCCTTGGTAACGATCGTAGAATGTGCTTCCTCTTTCGCAGTGAAGTCCTCCAATATGTCTCTCGTGAAAGTAGTAAGAAAGTCGTTTACCACCGGTACTTTTGATGCGGTAGCAGCTGCTGAATCGCCAATTGGTTTTACCAATCAACCTAGAAGAGTAATAAAAATGTTCTTTTTTTTTAATTAATCGACATCAGTTTGATCATAATATTATTCGTTAATATTAAATATACCAATATTTTAATTCGATTCGATTGTGCAATACGCTTACAAAGCCATTTTATTTTATCGTTAGTTGACTTTTACTTATTATGTCTTTCTCTTTTTGTTTGATATGCTTTGAAAAAAATTAATACATGCTGTTCTAAATATATCAGAAAGTTGATGTAAAATAAATTTT